GTATGTATGTCGCTTCTACCATCTTCCTTTGGTGTGAAGGCAGGCCTTGTTTTATGATGAAGGTCTGGCACCATTTAGGGAAATGGCCATCATTGTCGACGTGAACGAAGGCGCTCCTCTTGTCATGTCGTCGGAGGGCGCTGCGGCGTTGGTCGATTCGTTTTTCGTGGAGGCCTCGTCCTGTCTCACCTATGTAAACTTTATCGCAGCCGCCGCAAGGTATGCTGTACACCTGGCTAAGAAGTCTGTTGTGGTATATGAAACAAATTACGAAGTCTATAAAAGATGGAAAATATGGTACAGATTATGGTTCACATATGCAAACTTTAACATTGACTATTGCCAATTCATGTAAGCCCCATACACAGGTGTTGACTGTGAAAAGACCTGTCGGTATATATAAGACCGCCTTGCTGGAACAGGAAGCAGTAGCGAGCATGGCAGCCCGAAGAGTCCTGAGCGTCCTGACGGTGGCGATGATGGGGGTTGTCTCCCAAGCAGCGCCTCCCCACTTCAACGGCTCGCTGCCCTTCGTCAGTAAGTCCTTTGGGTGAATGTAAGACGTGTTTGACGCTCCTTAGTGTTTTTCGTTAGTCAGTGCAAGTCCTTTGGTTATTTTCCGCACCATCTTGTCTTTTCACTTTTTAGGGGGGGCTACCCTCTCATTTAAAACCACCTGATTATGCTGATTAGGTAAAAGCATATATTATGAATTGGCCTTTCAGCGAACAGGCGTTCATACACAAGTAATCACAGTGAAGGAAAATATTTTGTTCAGTCTGTAGTTTGGCATTTCTTTGCAAGTGTCTTTTCGTTTGATAATGAGGTTCATCTCGAAAGCAATGTCTCGCTTCCAGTCGAGCCTCGCGTGAACTTCGACGACACGTGTAGGTGTGGGCAGAAGGCCGCGTCCAGGATCGTGGGCGGGGTGACCACGGGCGTGAACGAGTGGCCGTGGCAAGCGGCGCTGATGTACGGGTCACAGCAGTTCTGCGGCGGATCCCTGATCAACGACCGATACGTCCTGACCGCCGCCCATTGCACCGAGGTAAGCACGGGAGTGGAAGGAAAATATGAAGGAAAGGGACCAAGGAGAATGCAAGAGACAAATGCAAGGTCATCTATAGTGAGGATAGGAATGTTTAGATAAAGAGGTGTAACTATTCATAACAAGAGTATTTGTAGCGGTGGTGATGTGATTTATTTACAGAGCATGAGAGCGTCTGACCTGACCATCCGTCTGGCCGAACACAGGCTGAGCACTTCTTCAGAGACCAGTGTTGTGAGCAGGTCTGTGTCTCAGATCATCGAGCATCCGAACTACCAGCCGGGTAACGAGATTAACGACATCGCTCTCGTTAAACTGTCATCGCCAGTCAAGGTGAGCAAAAGAGCATCTGCGGTGCAAGCGATGAACACGATGTACATTCTTTGAAAACAAGTTTCATCGAATAGGTGTGTTATTTCTTAAGGAAGAAGGGTGAATATTTTATTTTCAGGTGAGCGACACAGTGTTGCCAGTGTGCATGCCACCACCCAAGCCAACATACGCCGGCAAGACAGCCACTGTCACAGGTTGGGGAACCACCAGCTCCGGAGGTTCGTCTTCAGACACTCTGAGGGAAGTCGACGTCACGGTTAGTATACGAATGCTTGTGTGAAATGGATATGAAGTCACGTTGTAAACGTAATGTAATTTTGTTCCCTGGTAGGGACTTTGGATTTTTCTGATCCAAATAATTATGACATTTAAAGCAAGACCATTAACCGTCTTCTAAACGTTGGCAACTGAACGCAGGTGCTGTCCAACACCGCGTGTCAGTCCGGCAATTACGGAAGCGCCATTCAAGACACCATGTTGTGCGCCGGAAGTGCAGGCAAGGACTCGTGCCAGGGAGACTCCGGCGGCCCTCTGGTGTTCAAGGACGGAGGTGGAAACTACGACCAGGTGAGTGGGCGCAGGCATTGAATGACTATGTGGGCTCATGACTGACGAAAGAAACTTCTGTAAATGAAGGTAGAATCAGATATTAGGTCCACCTTGAAAGTGGATTTGCTGGACATTTGTCTAGAATATCAAAGCATACCTTGAAAGATTCAGTTGAATGTAGAAGCAGGATTAATCAATCACTCGTATTATAAAAGCATCAGGGATATCTGAACATACCCTCCAGTGCTCCTGACATGTAATCAACTTTCAACCCACACAGATCGGCGTGGTGAGCTGGGGCGTTGGGTGCGGAGCTCGAGGCTACCCCGGCGTGTACACCCGCGTCAACAGCTACCTCGACTGGATCAAGACCAACACAGCCGATGGCGTTTACTGCAAAGGAATGCTTCTCTAGTCCTGCCACTCGCACTCTCACTCTCACCAGTCTCGGTCGGAAGGAAGAAAGCGAGACGTCGAAAACATATCACCATCGAATATGTTTTAAACCCAAATCTTTCACTGAAATCTGACCCAAAATAAAAAGTTTCAGAGTAAACAACACTATACCTCATTATTCATCACAGTATATTAAACAAAAAAATCGTTCTTAAAGGTTAAATGTCCGTATCACTGAAATGAACCGTATTTAGGGCGTGAGACATATTAATGATACACAGCAATGAAGGTATTCTTTGTATTACAGGGGAAATATGTATATATATATATATATATATATATATATATATATATCTATGCATATCTATATGTATGTATACATTTATCTACCCATATACGTATATATGTATGTATATATATATGTAAATGTGTGTATATATGTATATATGAATATGTATATATACATATATATAAATATGTGTATATGAATATTTTTATATAGAAACATATGTATATTTATATATATGTATATACACACAACCACACATAAATACATATATGTACATAAGTAAATTTATACATATATATTCGCATAGATACATATATGTGTATATACATATATGTATATGTATATATGTACATATATATGTATATACACACAACCACACATACATACATATGTGTACATACATATATGTATACGTATATATACGCATAGATACATATATGTATATATACATATATGTATATGTATATATGTATATATGTACATATATATGTATGTATATTTATGCAAAAACACACACACACACATATATATATGTACATGTATAGATGTATACATGTATATGTATACATATATATATATAAACATATATATACACATTTGCATGTATACACACACATATATATGATATACATATTCATATACATGTGTATGTATACATGTATATGTATATATGTTTATATATATGTATACATATACATGTATACATCTATACATGTACATATATATATATATATATATATATATATATATATATATATGTGTGTGTGTGTGTGTGTGTGTGTGTGTGTGTGTGTGTGCGTGTGTGTATATTTGTGTGTGTAATAAATACATATGTATCTGTGTCTGTGTATTATATATATACATATATGTATATATGAATTTGTATATATATATATTCACACATATATGTTTATGTATAATATGTATATATATGTATATATACGCATATATATATGTATTTGTTTAAAGATAGATAGATAGGTAGATAGATGGACCAATGGACAGATAGATGAATACAGAAATAGAGTAAAGTTGCGAAAGAACACGAAACAATACGAATTAAAGGCGAAAGAAAAGAAATGATATACGAAAAAGAGACAGAAGAGAAAAGTCTATAACTGTCGTTATTTTCCTTACACTTAATGGTGTGAATTTTTTTAGGATGCTATTGTCATGAATGAAAATGCTGATAATTATCATGATGATAAGAAAAGTAATGATTATGATAACAGTAATAATTATGGTGTCTGGTGATTATAATGATTTTTTTTTTATATATAGGAATAATGTTCAAATTTTGTCATTTTTGATAATCATACCAATCGCAGCAATACGAATTTTGGTGGTATCAATGAAAATATAATAACAAATGTGTAAATCATACGGTATCAAAAATACATAATTTTGAATTCAGTGGTACGTAATTAAATATTAATCTAACACATGCGACGCTTATTTTATGTCCCATGTGACTAAACGGCTCTTATTCACTTAAGCATGTTCACTAACATAATTACGGGCATATATTTAGATATATTCGGATTTTAATAGGCGCACTCTCTCTCTCACACAAACACACACACGTATACACACACACATTTTTCTTTTCTTTTTGATGCTTCTTCCACTTTTGTCTGTTCCCTGATCTACGTCGCCCACATCCGATCTCTTTGACTAATTCCCAGCATCAACCTCTCCATCTTTCTCTGGGCATTGATTAGTTTCCTCTCCAGTTATTTGGTTGTAGTCCATGTTTCACATCCATAGGTCATTACTGGGAGGTAAAGACTTATCTTCTTAAACATAATGGCAAGTAGCCATACTGTGTCTGCTGAAGGCACTCCAGCCTAGTGTGAAAATGTGTGTAGTATACATATATGAATGTGTATATAGATACATATATGTAAATATGATACGTATATATGTATATATATGTATGTGTATATATTCATAAATATGTGTATATATATGTATATGTATATGGGTGTATATATATATGCATATGTATATGTGTGTATATATATAAGTATGTATATATCTATATCTGTCTATTTCCCTCCCGCTCTTTATATATATTTATGTTTGTACGTGTGTATGTGTATGGCATATATTCATGAAAGAGAGAGAGAAAGGGAGTGTACGAGTTTACGAGTGCGTGTGTGTGTCTGTGTGTATGTATATACATACATATAGGCATACATACACACAAATATATGAAATACATATGTATGTGTCTATGTATTTATGTATACATATATACATGTGTGTGTGTCTGTATTAAAATACGAATATATATAAACGTGTGCGGTAATTATGTTAGTAAACATGCTAAAAGAATTAATAGGAAATCCAGGAGTGAATAAAAGCTGTTTAGTCACATGGGACATAAAATAAGCGTCGCACGTGTTAGGTGAATACTTAATTACGTACAACTGAATAAATCCAAAATTATGCATTTTTTGATACCATATAATTTACCCACTTGTTGGTATTATATTTCCATTGATGTCATCAAAATCATTTTTCTCACGATTCGTAATATTATCAACAATGGCATAAATAATTCTAATTTCTGTATCATTCTTATATTTTTTTTCTTCAGGTATAAACGATATACTTATCACCATATTCACCAGCCACCATGATTATTATTATCACCCTCATTACACTCATAACAATAGTATCATAAAGATTATTTTACACACCACCATTTCTTAAAAGTAACGAAAATAACGATAGATGGTTTATTTACTTTTCTGCTCTGTGCCTCTTCCATGTAACATTTCTCTTCTTCAGTCTTTATTTTTTATTGTTTTTCTGTCCATCTATCTATCCACTGGTTTATCTATCTACATATCCACTTATCTATCTATCGATAAACAAATACATATGTATATATACATATATTATATATATATATATATATATATATATATATATATATATATATATATATATTCATGTAAAGATATACATATTATATATATACATATATATGTATATATATGCATGCTATAGATACACATAAATACATACATATATATATATATATACATATACATATATTATATATATATATATATATATATATATATATATATATATATATATATACATATATTATATATATATATATATATATATATATATATATATATATAAAATTGTGTATACACACACACACACACACACATATATAGATATATATATGTATATATATATATATATATATATATATATATATATATATATATATATAAATATATATATATTTATGTATACATGCATTTACGTACATATATACATACATGGTAGAAAACCCCAGAATGGAAAATTTAGATTTACTGAAAATGAGACTAGAATTTCGAAATCCACCTGAATTCCATCCTTAGGTCTGAAGAAGAAACGGAGAGGAGAAGGTATAAATGAGAGAGAGGAGAGACAACGCGGTAACACGGAGCAGGTAGAAACGCACGAACGAAAGGGAGGTCAGGTCAGAGGATCGGGCGGATTATGCAGAGGGTGGCCGGCATAAGGGAGAAGGCGGTGAATGTGGGAAGCAAGGAGACGGTCAATAGAAAAAAAAAAAAAAAAAAAATCAGGTTGAAATTAGGCTGCAGCTTTATTAAGGATTCCGACAGTTTGCGGGCGTGGACACTTACATGTACAAATATTTGTATATACATTGAATATATATATATGTGTGTGCATATTATTTCTATACACATATATGCATAAATTCATATATATATGTATACAAACATGTATGCATATGCATATATATGTATGCATATATATATGTATGCATATGTATATATATATATTTAAGAAGGATTTTTCTTTTCAATATATCCTTTATTGCCTTTATCGCCAACACATGTAGAAAGATGTGCCAATAATGGTCTAGGTTTCAGTAGGGCTAAAGCGAATTTCATATTCCTGGCTACATAATGCAAGAGGTAAGCTGGTTCATTTTTTTATAACATGGTCCCAATTTCTTAGGGGGACAGAATGAAAAAAAACGTGTCGAACGTTGTTTATTTATATTTCACTTATTGTCAGATTTTTTTTTATATACAATTTAGTGTTAAAGTATATTTTCGATGGTGAAGGATGTTCTCAACCTCTTTCCTAACGACAATGACATTGTCTTCATTTAAGATACTATATGGAAAAGCAATTACATATTATCTTTGGGGAGAAAAATGGCAAATAATAGTATATAGTGGTGTTTATTGTGAAACATTTTATCTTATGTCAAATTTCAATGCATGGCTTGGTTTAGATCATGTTCGACGGTGATAATGTCGACTTTCTTCCTGAGTCTGGCGGTCGTGAGTGAGTAGAACTGGCAAGACTAAAGAAGCATTCCTTTGCAGTAAATGCCATCGGCTGTGTTGGTCTTGATCCAGTCGAGGTAGCTGTTGACGCGGGTGTACACGCCGGGGTAGCCTCGAGCTCCGCACCCAACGCCCCAGCTCACCACGCCGATCTGTGTGGGTTGGAAGTTGATTACAAGTCAGATATCTTTGATGACTTTATAATGCAAGTGCCACTTAATCCTGCTTGTACATCACGTTAAATCGATCAAGGTATGCTCTGATATTCTGTACTGATTTTTTCAACAAATCTACTTATAAGATGGATCTAATGCCATCTGATTTCACCATTATTTATAGAAGTCGATTTCGTCAATCATGAGCCCACCAACAGTTATTCAGTGCCTGCGCCCACTCACCTGGTCGTAGTTTCCGCCTCCGTCCTTAAACACCAGAGGGCCGCCCGAATCTCCCTGGCACGAGTCCTTGCCTGCACTTCCGGCGCACAACATGGTATCTTGAATGGCGCTTCCGTAATTGCCGGACTGACACGCGGTGTTCGACAGTACCTGCGTTCAGTTGCCAACGTTTAGAAGGCGATGAAAGGTCTAGGTATAAATGTCATCATTATTTGGAACAGAAAAAAATCTAAATCCGTAACAGTGAATAAAGCTACATTACGTTTACAACGTGACTTCATATCCATTGTTTTACACAAGCATTCGTATACTGACCGTGACGTCGACTTCCCTCAGAGTGTCTGAAGACGAACCTCCGGAGCTGGTGGTTCCCCAACCTGTGACAGTGGCCGTCTTGCCGGCGTATGTGGGCTTGGGTGGCGGCATGCACACTGGCAACACTGTGTCGCTCACCTGAAAATCATACAGGTCTCACCTTGGTAACATTCACTCTTCTTTCTTAACAACTAACACTTGGATGAAACTTGTTTTCAAAGAGTGCGCTGCGTATGTACATCGTGTTCATCGCTTGAACCGCAGATGCGGTTTTGCTCACCTTGACAGGCGATGACAGTTTAACGAGAGCGATGTCGTTAATCTCGTTACCCGGCTGGTAGTTCGGATGCTCGATGATCTCAGACACAGACCTGCTAACAACACTGGTCTCTGAGGAAGTGCTCAGCCTGTGTTCAGCCAGACGGATGGTCAGGTCAGACGCTCTCATGCTCTGTAAACAAATCCCATTATCACCACCACCATAAATACTCATGCTATGAACAGTTACACCGCTTTATCTAAACATTCCCATGATCATTATGAATGAAGCTGACTTTGCATTCCCCTTCCCTTCCCCTCATAATTTCCTCCCACTTCGTGCTCACCTCGGTGCAGTGGGCGGCGGTCAGGACGTATCGGTCGTTGATCAGGGATCCGCCGCAGAACTGCTGTGACCCGTACATCAGCGCTGCTTGCCACGGCCACTCGTTCACGCCCGTGGTCGTCCCGCCCACGATCCTGGAGGCGGCCTTCTGCCCACACCTACACGTGTCGTCGAAGTTCACGCGAGGTTCGACTGGAAGCGAGACACTGCTTTTGATATGAAGCCCATTATCAAACGAAAATAGACTTAGAAAGAGATGCCATAGTCGAGAGCGAACAAGAAACCATTTTCAAAGTGGTTTTCAATGGCAACCGAGAGTGTAACGTAAAAAAAAGTCGAAAATGACCAAAGAACTTAGTGATAAATGAAAAACGCCAACCATCAAAGACTTTTTACTTGCAACCAAAGAGACTTACTGACGAAGGGGAGTGAGCCATTGAAGTGGGGAGGCGCTGCCTGGGAGACAACCCCCATCATCGCCACCGTCAGGACGCTCAGGACTCTTCGGGCTGCCATGGTCGCTACTGCTTCCTGTTCCAGCAACGCGATCTTATATGTACCGGCAGCTCTTTTCACTGTTAACACCTGTGTATGGAGCTTACATAAACTGACATTAGTGAACGTTAAGGTTTGCATATGTGGACCATAACCTGTAACACGTTTTGATTTTTTTAAAAACACTTCGCAATTTGCTCCGTATGTTGGAATTAACATTTTTTGTCTACTAAAAATCGGAGAAAGCAAGAGGAAACGTAGGCTTACATTTTTTGGGCCTCTTTTCATCACTATAGTTCAAAAATTTTCCTCCAATATGTAATAGACTAGATATATAGTTTCGAACATAAATTGTACAAATTCCACGTAGCTGTGTTTTTGCACTTAGAGATAATAATCTAATTAGATATATTAATCTTAATCTTGTGTTATTTATTCATAGTTCATAAAATTAACTCGCCAATTTAGCAAGAATCTTCATAATATTCTGTTCTTATTTTCAAAAACTGCTTGAGCGACTTTCTTCTAATAAAAATGGTTGTACTGTTACCGTTACCAATATCATCATTATCATATATTCATTGATTATTATCATGATTACCTTTGCCATTCTCTTTCGTATCATGATCATTGCTAGTAGTTATAATCGTTAATAGAATCATTTCTGCTATTACTATGGTTATCAGTAAAATAAATATCAATATTATTGTTTTTGTCATCATTTTCATTAGAAGTAGCAGTGGACATATAACATACGGACAATGAGAACGGAATCCGACTTACTAGCATAACTTTCATTAAATGGGATGTTGTGGGACTCTGTGAGGTAAGAAGACTAAGCGAAGAACAGAAGATACTAAATGGACACGTGCTCTATAGCAGAGGTAAACCCTAGGGTAGCAAGCAGGAATTAGGGGTATGTTTCTTAGTTCACAAAAAAAATAGAAAAGAATATCGTATATCCATAGTATAGACGAAAGAATGACTTCAGTAACAAACTGAATAATAGGTACAACTTAAAGATTGTTCAAGTCTATGCTCCATCCTGCAGCTACAGTGATGAAGAAATAGAAAGCTTCAATGAAGATGTTTATTTAGCCAACGAGAGAGTAAAAACCCATTTCACAATAATTATGGGAGATTTTAATGCCAAAATAGGTAAAAAGAAGGAGAATCCATAGTGGGGAATCACGGAATAGGCACTAGGCATGAGAGGGGACTCAATCATTTAATATCATGAATACATTCTGCGAAAAAAAACACCAATTCCAAATAGGCGCGATATAGTAAAACTGTGGAAGTTATTAATAAAGTAAATGTTGGCAGTGACTATAGGTTGCTCAGAGGCCAAATTAAATTACACCTCAGAAGGGAGAGGAATAAACTCATACGAAAATCGCAGCCAAATTTAGCTAACTGACAGAAATTAACTTTAACATCTAAAACAGATATTCACTTCTCAGCGACGAAGATCTCAACATCGACCAAATCAACAAACAATTCAATGACATAATTAAGGAAGCTGCACTTGAAGTAGGCAGTAAGAATGTCAAGCAAAGCTCCAGTAAGCTCTCGGTAAAGACTAGACAGTTTATGCAAAAACAGGTCATGAAAGTATGGTCAAACTGAAACAAGAGATGTTCGGAAATTCAATGCTTAATAAATGAAGCAGTGATTTCAGGTACCAGCATAAAAACAGTTAAGGAGACTTGGAATAGGGAGAAATCAAGAGTATGCAATAAAGAAACAAAACAGGGAAGTGGCATAAAATAAGAATGAAATCATAAGAGTATTAGAAGACTTTACAGGAATCTATACAACCCAAATGAGCAGCCACGGATGGAAGCGAACGCGGTAACTAGAAACGTACCTAACATCACAACAGAAGAAATAAAAAGAGCGCTTAAAGGCATGCAGAGAGGAAAATTAGCTTATAACATCTTATAATATATATAGGAGAAATTGTAACAGTGAAACTAGCCAAGCTTTTTAACGAATGCTTTCTCAACGGAAAAATACTCCGAAAGCCTGGAAAAATGCAACAATTATTTTGATACATAAAAAAAGGGGATAGAAAGGATAAAAAAAACTACCGACACATAACCCTCCTTTCAGTTACTTACAAACTATTCACAAAATTCATCACAAGTCGCATCTCCGAGCAGACTAGAGAACACGCAAGCTTCCGCAGTGGATTCTCAACAACAAACCACATCCACACGCTTACCCAAAAATAAGAAAAAAATACAAAAATATAGGAAACCCCTGTATATGGCATTCATCGATTATGTAAAGCCATTTGACTCTGTACAAATACCAGCAGTACTAGAAGCTATTCGAAGACAAGGAGTAGAGAAGGTAAAACATTGGAAGATACTTATGAAGATGGGACAGCAACCATCAAGCTCCGCACGGAAACCGATAAAATACCCATTAAAAAAGTGTTAGGGCGATACCATCTCATTAAAACTGTTTACAGGTTGCCTTGAGGAAATATTCAAGAAACTAGAACGGAAAGGGTATCAAAATAGGAGATGAGTATCTAAACAATCTAAGATTTGCAGTTGACATTGTTCTCTTTAGTGAATCTGCAAAAGAAATGCAGCAATTAATAAACAACCTTAATAGAGAAAGTCTGAAAGTCGGACTTGGGATGAACAAGATGTTCAACAGTAAAGTTCAATTCAAACAGATACATGTACAAGGCGAAACGCTAGAAGTAGTGGACAAGTATATATAGCTAGGGCAACTCATAGAAACATATCTAGCGAAGAGAAAATTAAACAACGCTCCTTGCCATTATGTTTAAATAGATCTATAACCAATGCGTCCTCCCAGTTATGACCTATGGGTTAGAAACATGGACTACAACCAAATTACTGGAGAGGTTGATGTTGGGAATTAGCCTAAGAGATCGGATGAGGGCGATGCGGAGCAGGGGAGAAAAAATGGAAGATATATTTGGAACATAAAAAAAAAAAAAAAAAAAAAAATGGCAATGGATATGTCATATGTGTTGGAGACAGGACGACAGATATATATTTATACACACATACACGCATATGCATGTATGCATGTACAGTAAATACATAAATATATATACACATATATTCATCAATCTATCTATCTACAGAGAGATATGCATTGTACACACACACACGGGACAAGGTATATATAGCTAGGGCAACTCATACAAACACATCTAGCGAAGAGAAAATTAAACAACGCTCCTTGCCATTATGTTTAAAAAATTACTGGAGAGGTTGATGTTGGGAATTAGCCTAAGAGATCGGATGAGGGCGATGCGGAGCAGGGGAGAAAAAATGGAAGATATATGTGGAACATAAAAAAAAAAAAAAAAAAAAATGGCAATGGATATGTCATATATGTTGGAGACAGGACGACAGATATATATTTACACACACATACACGCATATGCATGTATGCATGTACAGTAAATACATAAATATATATACACATATATTCATCAATCTATCTATCTACAGAGAGATATGCATTGTACACACACACACACACAGTCACACAAATACACATATCTACATATATATGTATATACTATATACGTATTATATCTATATATGTGTAATTTATATATATAAATATATAATTAAATGCATTTTATATACATACATATATGCACACACACACAAATATATGTCTATATTCATACATATGTGTATATATGCATATATAAATGATTTTTGTACTTTAAAAGAGATCTTATGCAAATGATAATGATCTCTTTATTCTAGCTGTAATTAATACTAAGAAAATTATTGCATAATACAAAAATAATGAAATGAAATTTTGTTATTGCAGTAACCTACGAAAATATCCAATGGAAACAACGAGGGTAATAGTAATACGAGCGATTATACATGAAAACCTGGTAAGTCGTGATTAATGTAATAATGATGGTGATAGTAATATAAGTAATGATTATGATAATAATGATATTAACAATAAGAATAATTATAATGAATAATAATAATGATAACAAGAGTAATATTAACAATAAAAAAATATCACCAATGCTTATAATGACGATGATAATGACAATAATAATGTTGATAATAATAATAGTAATGACACTGCTGCTGCTACTAATGGAAATGATAACAAAAACAATAATGATATTCATTATAATGATAACAATAGTAATAACATAAATAATTATGTTTGCGATGATAGTAATGATAATATGAAAGAGAAGAATGACAATATATGATAACGTTGGTAACGGTAACAGTACAACCGTTATTATTAGAAGTGTCGCTCATACAACTTTTGAAAATAAGGAGGAAAAAAATTAAGATTCTTGCTAAATTCGCCGAATTAATTCAATGAACTGTAAATCATCATAACAAAAATAATTAAGTGAATAATTCCAAGCGCAAAAACACAAATATTACGCACATACATTAGGATGGGATATGTGCAATATCTGTTCGAAACTACGTATCCATTCTGTTACATATTGGTTGAAAATTTCTCGATGCTAGTGATGAAAAGAGGCCTAAAAATTGTAGGCATATGTTTATTCGAATGTTTTCTCTGATTATCAGTATATATATATATATATATATATATATATATATATATATATATATAAATACAATATATGAAACAAATTACGAAGTTTGAAAAAGATAGAAAATATGGTACAGATTATGATTCACATATGCCCCATACACAGGTGTTGACTGTGAAAAGACCTGTCGGTATATATAAGATCGCGTTGCTGGAACAGGAAGCAGTAGCGAGCATGGCAGCCCGAAGAGTCCTGAGCGTCCTGACGGTGGCGATGATGGGGGTTGTCTCCCAAGCAGCGCCTCCCCACTTCAACGGCTCGCTGCCCTTCGTCAGTAAGTCCTTTGGGTGAAAGTAAGACGTATTTGACGTTCCTTGGTGTTTTTCGCTTGTCAGTGCAAGTCCTTTGGTTATTTTCCGCACCATCTTTTTTCGCTACACTCCCATGATTAGGTAAAACATTTCTTATAAATTGGTCTTTCAGCGAACAGGCAGTGTTCACACACAAGTACTCACAGTGAAGGAAAATAGTTGTTCAGTTTCGGCCTTGGTATCCCTTTGCAAGTGTCTTTTCGTTTGATAATGGGGTTCATCTCGAAAGCAGTGTCTCGCTTCCAGTCGAGCCTCGCGTGAACTTCGACGACACGTGTAGGTGTGGGCAGAAGGCCACGTCCAGGATCGTGGGCGGGGTGACCACGGGCGTGAACGAGTGGCCGTGGCAAGCGGCGCTGATGTACGGTTCACAGCAGTTCTGCGGCGGATCCCTGATCAACGACCGATACGTCCTGACCGCCGCCCATTGCACAGAGGTGAGCACGGAACTGGGAGGGAAATAAGTGAGGGAAAAGAAGCAAGGAGAATACAAGACACAAATACAAAATCATCATCCGTAATGAAGACAGGAATATTCATAGCATGAGTATTTATGGCGATGGTGATAATGGGATTTGTTTGCAGAGCATGAGAGCGTCTGACCTGACCATCCGTCTGGCCGAACACAGGCTGAGCACTTCCTCAGAGACCAATGTTGTGAGCAGGTCCGTGTCTGAGATCATCGAGCATCCGAACTACCAGCCGGGTAACGAGATTAACGACATCGCTCTCATTAAACTGTCATCGCCAGTCAAGGTGAGAAAGATAGCATCTGCGGCTCAAGCGATGAACACGGTGCACATACATACTGCTCTCTTTGGAAACAAGTCTCATCCAATAGGTGTGTTATATCTTAAGAAAGATGAGTGAATATTACCAAGGCGAGATCTGTTTGATTTTCAGGTGAGCGACACAGTGTTGCCAGTGTGCATGCCACCACCCAAGCCCACATACGCCGGCAAGACAGCCACTGTCACAGGTTGGGGAACCACCAGTTCCGGAGGTTCATCTTCGGACACTCTGAGGGAAGTCGACGTCACGGTCAGTACACGAATACGGATGCTTGTGTGAAACAGTGGATATGAAGTCACATTGTAACGTAATGTAGATTTGTTCCCTGTTACGGACTTTGATTTTTTCTGTTCCAAATAATGATGACATTTACACCTAGACCTTTCATCGCCTTCTAAACGTTGACAACTGAACGCAGGTACTGTCGAACACCGCGTGTCAGTCCGGCAATTACGGAAGCGCCATTCAAGACACCATGTTGTGCGCCGGAAGTGCAGGCAAGGACTCGTGCCAGGGAGATTCGGGCGGCCCTCTGGTGTTCAAGGACGGAGGCGGAAACTACGACCAGGTGAGTGGGCGCAGGCACTGTAAGACTATGTTGGTGGTCTCATGACTGACAAAATCGACTTCTATAAATAATGGTGAAATCAACTGATATTAGATCCATCTTTTAAGTAGATTTGCTGAACAAAATCAGTACAGAATATCAGAGCATACCTTGATCGATTTAACGTGATGTACAAGCAGGATTAACAGTCACTTGCATTACAAAGTCATCAAAGATATCTGACTTGTAATCAACTTCCAACCCACACAGATCGGCGTGGTGAGCTGGGGCGTTGGGTGCGGAGCTCGAGGCTACCCCGGCGTGTACACCCGCGTCAACAGCTACCTCGACTGGATCAAGACCAATACAGCCGATGGCGTTTACTGCAAAGGAATGCTTCTCTAATTTTGCCACTCGCACTCTCACGACCGCCACTCTCGGCCGTAAGGAAGAAAGTGAGACATCATCGTCGAACATGTTTTTAGGCCAAACCATGCACTGAAATCCGATATAAGATCAAATGTTTCAGAATAAAGACCACCATACGCTATCATTTACCATTTCTCTCCTCAAAAGGTAATGTAAATGCTCCCCCATACAGTATCTTAAATGAAGACAACGCCTTTGTCGTGAGGAAAGGAAGCGAGAGATTGAGAACATCCTTCACCATCGAAAATATGCTTTAACGCTATATGGTTTAATAAAATCTGACAATAAGACAGATATAAATAAACAACATTCTTTTTTATTCTGTTCTCTAAGGAATTAGGACCATGTTTTAAGCATAAAATATTTTCAATGAAAGAAGCGTTATTTTTCAGTTGTCTTTCCCTACTCCGTCGAATTAAATCCTTCATCTAAAACAAGAAAGAAAAGAGTTTGGTGAAATCTTTTGTATTCTCGTACCTGCGGAACAAACTTACCTCTTGCGTTGTGTGGCCAGAAATGTGAAATCCGCTATAGGCCTACTGAAACCTTTCGACATGCGATAGCATAGGTCCCATGGTGCCATGAGTTTTGCAATAAAGAAAGAAACAGAAGTTTAAAAGGTGTCAGGTTTGAAATCAATTTCTCATATATTGAAGGGAAAAATCTTGAAGGTGTGTCCATATCATAAACCGTACCCAGGGAAAGAGATATACTCTTGATAAATAAAAATGGAGTTATTTAATTTCTGGGGAAAGATAATTCAAGAAAACAAATGTAATGGTGCTCCAGTTGAGTCAAGGGACACAACTCGAATTAGATTTCAAACTATTTATATTTGTATAAATGTATACATATGTGCAACACACACACATATATGTATATATATATATATATATATATATATATATATATATATATATATATACATATATATAGCACAGGCAGATACACAATTAACTTTTTTTGAAAAGTTATATATATACATACACACACACACACACACACACACACACACACAAACACACACACACATATATATATATATATATATATATATATATATATATATACATATACACACACACACACACACACACACACACACACACACACACATATATATATATATATATATATATATATACATACATAAATACACAAACACACATCCAATGTATATGTATTGATATATGTATACATATATATGTATATATATATATATGCGCGTGTGTGTATATATATGTGTATATATATTCATATATATACATATATATATATATATATATATATATATATATATATATATATATAAATATATATATTCATATATAGATATATATACATACAGTATATATTTGCATATACATATATATCATATCAATACAAATGTATATAGATTTATATGTGTTCATATACATATACATATGAACACACAGGCACATGTATATATATTTATACTTGTATACATATGCATGTATCTATATATCTGTCTACCTACCTCTCTCAATATATATGTATATGTATTCATATAAATGCATATATAGATATATGTATCTGTGTTTATATATATATATATATATATTCTGTATGGATATATATATATATATATATATATATATGTAAATATACTGCCGCGATAGCTCAGTGGTTATAGCACTGGACTCCGACCCTCATGGTCCCGGGTTCAATTCCCCGTCGCGGCAGTCGTAAAAATGCCTGCGCTCTGACTGCTGGCTCGAGCCCGAGAAAACGACATATCGCCTTGAGAAGTCAAACCCAGTTGTCGTAGGGGATGTCACCGCCGTGGCACACGTGTTAACGCGCCGAACCGCGGTTGATTAGGAAGGGCATCCAATCAGGCAAGGGTGACACTGCCATATAACCTCTCAATAGTGAATTGAGAGAGGCCTATGTCCTGCAGTGGAATGAATGGCTGTTAAAAAAAAGTATATATATATATATATATATATATATATATATATATATGTGTGTGTGTGTGTGTGTGTGTGTGTGTGTGTGTGTGTGTGTGTGTGTTTGTGTGTAAATATATATGCACATAAATGCAGATGCGATCTAAATTAATATGTGGCCCTCGGCACGTCAGTTTGATGCTGAATTAAGCTACGTTGTAAGAAACTGGACTATCCCGTTTTCTATTGGTATGGGAAAGTATTTTTTGTGTATGATTCATGTATTTTCTAGAATTAAACCTTTACTGGAAATTACAACAAGTTATTGTTTTACATCGTATTTATATTTCGAAAGATATGTAATTTCAAGAATGGTCTGGCTTTCAGAGGGTTTAAGAATAAATATATCTGGCCACACGACGTAAGAAGTGGATTAGTAAAAGAACGGAAACCCTATTCACAACTTTTTTCTTTTCTTTTCATATTTAATGACAATGTGAATTTTTTTTTCTTCTACTTTTTGTATCTTTATGATCTAACAGACTTTTTCTATTGTAATAGCGTCGTTTCTATTGATCTGTTTGGTGTTGCTTTATACATCTTATGGGAATCAATTTTGTGTCACCAACTACTCTAGTGGATAAAAAAATATACCAAACATATAAGCATACCTTATAAATAGTGGCAGTATGCAAGGGCTGATAATATGAAGGTATCAATAGAGAAGCGTTGGAAAAGTTTTCATTTAAGATAGTGTATGGAGAAACATGCACGTATCTTTAAGGAGAGAATGGAAAAGAATGTATCGGATGTTGCTGTTTATTTAGATATTTCTTACTAATTTGTTAGATTTCAATGCACGATTTAGGGTTAAAACCTCGTTGGTGATGTGCGTTATGTACGTCCTTATGACCGAGACGTGAGAGCAGGAGTTGCAGGACTAGAGAAGCATTCCTTTGCAGTAAACGCCATCGGCTGTGTTGGTCTTGATCCAATCGAGGTGTGTGTGTGTGTGTGTGTGTAAATATATATACACATAAATGCAGATGTGATCTAAATTAATATGTGGCCCTCGGCACGTCAGTTTGATGCTGAATAAAGTTACGCTGTAAGAAACTTGACTATCCTGTTTTCTATTGGTATGGGAAAGTATTTTTTGTGTATGATTCATGTATATTCTAGAATTAAACCTTTACTGGAAATTACAACAAGTTATTGTTTTAGATCGTATTTATATTTCGAAAGATATGTAATTTCAAGAATGGTCTGGCTTTCAGAGGGTTTAAAAATAAATGTTTCTGGCCACACGACGTAAGAAGTGGATTGGTAAGAGAACGGAAACCCTATTCACAACTTTTTTCTTTTCTTTTCATAAATAATGACAATGTGAATTTTTTTTCTACTTTTTGTATCTTTATGATCTAACAGACTTTTTCTATTGTAATAGCGTCGTTTCTATTGATCTGTTTGGTGTTGCTTTATACATCTTATGGGAATCAATTTTGTGTCACCAACTACTCTAGTGGATAAAAAATATACCAAACATATAAGCCTACCTTATAAATAGTGGCAGTACGCAAGGGCTGATGATATGAAGGTATCAATAGAGAAGCGTTGGAAAAGATTTCATTTAAGATAGTGTATGGAGAAACATGCACGTATCTTTAGGGAGAGAATGGAAAAGAATGTATCGGATGTTGCTGTTTATTTAGATATTTCTTACTAATTTGTTAGATTTCAATGCACGATTTAGGGTTAAAACCTCGTTGGTGATGTGCGTTATGTACGTCCTTATGACCGAGACGTGAGAGCAGGAGTTGCAGGACTAGAGAAGCATTCCTTTGCAGTAAACGCCATCGGCTGTGTTGGTCTTGATCCAATCGAGGTAGCTGTTGACGCGGGTGTACACGCCGGGGTAGCCATCGTCTCCGCATCCAACGCCCCAGCTCACCACGCCGATCTGTGTGGGTTGGAAGTTAATCGCATGTTAAGAGACTGGGAGGGTATGTTCAGATATCTTATAGGGATGAACGTAATACCGATTCCACCTTTAATTTATCAAACGAATAGAAGTCTCTTTCGTTATGCATGAGTTCATGAACCTATTCATGCGCGCGCTTTCGACCACTCACCTGGTCGTAGTTTCCGCCTCCGTCCTTGAACACTAGAGGGCCGCCCGAATCTCCTTGGCACGAGTCCTTGCCTGCACTTCCGGCGCACAACATGGTGTCTTGAATGGCGCTTCCGTAATTGCCGGACTGACACGCGGTGTTGGACAGCACCTGCGTTCAGTTGGCAATGTTTAGGAGGCGGTGTGTGTGTGTGTGTACACACACACACACAAAGAAGTCCTTAACGGTGCAGAAAACTATCGATATCATATCTACTGCTCATTTAGTCCCGTGATTTCAAAGCATCCATATTTGTGTACTGACCGTGACGTCGACTTCCCTCAGAGTGTCTGAAGACGAGCCTCCGGAGCTGGTGGTTCCCCAACCTGTGACAGTGGCTGTCTTGCCGGCGTATGTGGGCTTGGCTGGTGGCATGCACACTGGCAACACTGTGTCGCTCACCTGAAAATCAAACAGGTCTTACCTTGGTATCAATGACTTTCTTAATGACTATCAAACCTGATGGATAAAACTTGTTTTTAGTTCGGTACGTATGTACACCGTGTTCATCGCTTGAACCCCAGATGCTGTTTTTCTCACCTTGACTGGCGACGACAATTTAACGAGAGCGATGTCGTTAATCTCGTTACCCGGCTGGTAGTTCGGATGTTCGATGATCTCAGACACAGACCTGCTAACAACACTGGTCTCTGAGGAAGTGCTCAGCCTGTGTTCGGCCAGACGGATTGTCAGGTCAGACGCTCTCATGCCCTACAATGAAAAGTCATAAATGGCGTCACAATCACAGTTGGTATAAATGTTACCACTGCTTTATCTAAACATCCATTGATCATTATGAGGATGATTTCACAAATGTGTACTCCCTTCTCCTTGGTCTCGTGCTCACCTCGGTGCAATGGGCGGCGGTCAGGACGTATCGGTCGTTGATTAGGGATCCGCCGCAGAACTGCTGCGAACCAGACATTAGCGCCGCTTGCCACGGCCACTCGTTCACGCCCGTGGTCGTCCCGCCCACGATCCTGGAGGCAGCCTTCTGCCCACATCTACACGTGTCGTCGAAGTTGACACGAGGCTCAACTGGAAATGAAAGACTACTTTGAATATAAAGTTCATAACCAAAGGAAAACATGCAAATTTTACTGAAGGTTTGGATGAAAGTAAAACTCACGAACACGAAAAAAATCATTGTAAATTAATGAAAATCCAAAATGAAAAAAGAACATCCAGCGAAAACTCAGATGAGGTAACCTTTACTGACACTCAAAAGTGAGACTTACTGACGAAGGGCAGCGAGCCGTTGAAGTGGGGAGGCGCTGCCTGGGAGACAACCCCCATCATCGCCACCGTCAGGACGCTCAGGACTCTTCGGGCTGCCATGGTTGCTACTGGTTCCTGTTCCGGCAAGACGGCTTTATATACAGCGTGAGGTCTTTTTGCAGTCAACACCTGTGTACTGAGCTTATATAAACTGGTATTTATAAACGTTAAGGTTTGCATACGCCTTCCATCTGTTTTCAACTTTTCGTTATTTCCTTATTTGAAGGAAACACTAAATGCATGTACAGCATAGAAACATAATTTTGTATCACTAATGATAATGAAAGAAAATTTCTGCTATGTGCAAGAGAGTGGTCATGTAGCTGACATTGCACACATTCCATTTTCAATATTATAAATAAATTTGTACTCACTTTTATATCTTTGTGTTTGCAAATTTATTATGTTTTTCTTATTTTCAAAGAGTACTAGAGTTAATTCTATTACCATATCATCATAAATGGTTGAATTATCGTCTTCATGATAATCATTATCATTGCTATGCGAATTTCACAGACTATGATTACCATTATCATCATTGGCAACTGTAATCATTATTAGGATTATCATTTGTATTATTTCTTTAACATAATAACAGCAATCATAATCATAATTATCATTATTATGTTTATTATTCCCACACGAACAGACGAATATATATATATATATATATATATATATATATATATATATATATATATTTATATATACATATAAAAATATGTATATATACACATGTATACAGACACACATACACACAGACACATGCGTATGTATGTAATAATATACATATATATATGTTTATATATGACTATAAATATATATTTACTATATATACCTATTTACACACACACACACATATATATTTACATATGAGTATATGAATATATATATATGCATATATGTTATATATGTATGGATAGATAGATGGGTAGTAACTATAATCATATATATGTATATATATATACACACACATATATGTGAGTGCGTTTGTGTATGTGGACATATATATATATATATTATATTGTAAATATATACATATATATAATATATATATTAGTATATATATAGATATAAATATATGTATATATATATATATATATATATATAAATATACATACATACATATATACATATGTATATATAGAATTAAACATTTGCTAGAAATAAAACAAGTAATTGGTTTACATCGCATTTATATTTGTCATGCCATTGTATGGTTTATATTAGTAATATTGTCATATGAACTTTGATAGTAAGTTTTTAGGGATGGATGCTCTGCCGTAGCACACATGCCCGTTTGTTCTCTGAGTAACTTCGGAGATTTTGCCCCAAAAAACTCACAGCCCCACGGTTGGTACGCCCTGCATTTAGAAAGATGTGCAGTTTCAAGACTGGTCTGGCTTTCAGAAGGTTTAAAAAGAAATATTTCTGGCCACACGACGTAAGAAGTGGATTGGTTGAGAATGGAAACCCTATTCACAACTTTTTTTCATATGTAATGACAATGTAAACTTTTTTCTACTTTTTTGTAAGTTCATGATCTAACAGACTTATTCTAGTGTAATAGCATCTTTTCTATTGATCTGTTTGGTGTTGCTTTATACATCTTTGTGTTACTATCTACTCTAGTGGATGAAAAATTTACCAAAATATAAGCATACCTTATAAATAGAGGCAGTATGCAAGGGATGATAGTATGAAGGTATCAATACAGAAGCGTAGGAAAAGATTTCATTTAAGATAGTGTATGGAGAAACAAGTACATATCTTTAGGGAGAGAATGGAAAAGACTGTATCGGATGTTGCTGTTTATTTTTATTTCATATTTATCAATCTGATAGATTTCAATGCACCTCGATGGTGATGTGCGTTATATACGTCCTTATGACCGAGACTGGTGGTCGTGAGAGCTGGAGTTGCAGGATTAGAGAAGCATTCCTTTGCAGTAAACGCCATCGGCTGTGTTGGTCTTGATCCAATCGAGGTAGCTGTTGACGCGGGTGTACACGCCGGGGTAGCCATCGTCTCCGCATCCAACGCCCCAGCTGACCACACCGATCTGTGTGGGTTGGAAGTTAATGTTAAGAGCACAGGAAGGTATGTTCAGACATCTTATACTGATGGACGTAATACTGATTATATATATATATATATATATATATATATATATATATATATATATATATATATATATATATATATATATATATATATATATATATATATATATATATATATATATATATATATATATATATATATATATATATATATATATATATATATATATATATATATATATATATATATATATATATATATATATATATATATATATATATATATATATATATATATATATATATATATATATATATATATATATATATATATATATATATATATATATATATATATATATATATATATATATATATATATATATATATATATATATATATATATATATATATATATATATATATATATATATATATATATATATATATATATATATATATATATATATATATATATATATATATATATATATATATATATATATATATATATATATATATATATATATATATATATATATATATATATATATATATATATATATATATATATATATATATATATATATATATATATATATATATATATATATATATATATATATATATATATATATATATATATATATATATATATATATATATATATATATATATATATATATATATATATATATATATATATATATATATATATATATATATATATATATATATATATATATATATATATATATATATATATATATATATATATATATATATATATATATATATATATATATATATATATATATATATATATATATATATATATATATATATATATATATATATATATATATATATATATATATATATATATATATATATATATATATATATATATATATATATATATATATATATATATATATATATATATATATATATATATATATATATATATATATATATATATATATATATATATATATATATATATATATATATATATATATATATATATATATATATATATATATATATATATATATATATATATATATATATATATATATATATATATATATATATATATATATATATATATATATATATATATATATATATATATATATATATATATATATATATATATATATATATATATATATATATATATATATATATATATATATATATATATATATATATATATATATATATATATATATATATATATATATATATATATATATATATATATATATATATATATATATATATATATATATATATATATATATATATATATATATATATATATATATATATATATATATATATATATATATATATATATATATATATATATATATATATATATATATATATATATATATATATATATATATATATATATATATATATATATATATATATATATATATATATATATATATATATATATATATATATATATATATATATATATATATATATATATATATATATATATATATATATATATATATATATATATATATATATATATATATATATATATATATATATATATATATATATATATATATATATATATATATATATATATATATATATATATATATATATATATATATATATATATATATATATATATATATATATATATATATATATATATATATATATATATATATATATATATATATATATATATATATATATATATATATATATATATATATATATATATATATATATATATATATATATATATATATATATATATATATATATATATATATATATATATATATATATATATATATATATATATATATATATATATATATATATATATATATATATATATATATATATATATATATATATATATATATATATATATATATATATATATATATATATATATATATATATATATATATATATATATATATATATATATATATATATATATATATATATATATATATATATATATATATATATATATATATATATATATATATATATATATATATATATATATATATATATATATATATATATATATATATATATATATATATATATATATATATATATATATATATATATATATATATATATATATATATATATATATATATATATATATATATATATATATATATATATATATATATATATATATATATATATATATATATATATATATATATATATATATATATATATATATATATATATATATATATATATATATATATATATATATATATATATATATATATATATATATATATATATATATATATATATATATATATATATATATATATATATATATATATATATATATATATATATATATATATATATATATATATATATATATATATATATATATATATATATATATATATATATATATATATATATATATATATATATATATATATATATATATATATATATATATATATATATATATATATATATATATATATATATATATATATATATATATATATATATATATATATATATATATATATATATATATATATATATATATATATATATATATATATATATATATATATATATATATATATATATATATATATATATATATATATATATATATATATATATATATATATATATATATATATATATATATATATATATATATATATATATATATATATATATATATATATATATATATATATATATATATATATATATATATATATATATATATATATATATATATATATATGGTTCCCCAACCTGTGACAGTGGCTGTCTTGCCGGCGTATGTGGGCTTGGCTGGTGGCATGCACACTGGCAACACTGTGTCGCTCACCTGAAAATCAAACAGGTCTTACCTTGGTATCAATGACTTTCTTAATGACTATCAAACCTGATGGATAAAACTTGTTTTCAGTTCGGCACGTATGTACACCGT